TCCTTGCAGTGCTGCGGGGCCGAAGCTGGGAGAACACGTGGACGCGACTGGCTCCCCTCGCCACTCATTGGGGCAACAAATAAAGATGCTGTTTTCAGAACTGCCACAACACTTCGGTTACCTTCGACGAGAGTTTGAGCTTCCAGTCTCGCCCCACCCAAGCCGGTTGAGAAAGGCTAAGATCGGATCCTCCGGACCGGAGATTCCTTCGGAAGGACGTCCCTTTGAAAGCAGCAGGGCAGAGTCCTGCCTCGGCGGCTGGGCGCGCAGCCCTTCCCCTGGGCGTGTGCGGCTGCTGCCAGGTGCTCTGGGCAAGGGTGAGCGCGGTGCTGAGGGCTTGTTCGTGTCGGCAGCAAACGGCCTCTCCCACCAGTCGGAGCTGGCTGGACGCCGGCCGGCCAACCAGCCGCCGTTGTCCGCCCCTCCTTCCCCTCCCTCAAGGGATCTGCACGGAGACCGGCCTCGGAGAAGCTCAGAGCTGGAGCTGCTCTGGCGGGCTCCGGTCTTCTGCAGGGAAAGGGAGGCATCGGCCAGGAAGAAAGGACCCTTCTCCCTCCTCCCAAAAGGTCTCTATCCGGGCACTTTTGAAGAGAAACAAAAGTTGGGAGGGGGCTGCGTCTGGAGGGAATTGGGCACCTTCTCCAGCCACTGCCTGGGCTGGGAGACCGGATTTGGCTTTGGATGGGGGCGCTTGTGGGTCCCAGGAAACTTCCTAGGATCCACCATGGCACTCCTCCGAGGCCCACCATACCTCCTCCAACCCATGGTGCCGCTCTGGAATCTGAGCTTCTGCTTTAACATCTGACGCACTGAGATCTACCCTGGGACTCTGCCCCAACCCAGGATGGTGCCTAGCGAGGAAGGCTGGTGGTGCCACACTCTCCTGGACTCATGACTCTGCTGCTGGAAGTGCGCTGTAAGTGGGCCTGGGTGACGAGGGAACCTGGGAGCAACACCGAGGCACTTTGGGGCACCCCCATGGCCTGGTCGGGGGATGAATGGGATGGAGCCACTCTGCAATGCTTCCAGCAACCAGAGCTGTGGGGTGACCCCTAGCATCCCTTACTCACCTCTGGCCACAGCGCTCATTCTGATGGCGGTGCTGGCTATGGCGCTCGTGACGCTGATGGGAAACGTGCTGGTAGTGCTAGCCGTGTACACCAGCCGTGCTCTTCGCGCCCCACAGAACCTCTTCCTGGTGTCCCTGGCTGCAGCCGACATCCTAGTAGCCACCCTCGTCATCCCCTTCTCCCTGGCCAACGAGGTCATGGGCTACTGGTGCTTTGGTCGCCTTTGGTGCAGCCTCTACCTGTCGCTGGACGTGCTGTTCTGCACCGCCTCCATCATGCACTTGTGTGCCATCAGCCTGGACCGATACTGGGCTGTAACCAGGGCTGCACGGTACAACCTCAAAAGGAGCCCCCTGCGGGTGAAGTGCATGATTGGGGCCGTGTGGGCCATCTCTGCCTTTGTATCCCTGCCACCGCTGTTCAAGTCGACATCCCAGGCCTGGGAGTGCCAGCTGCATGATGACACCTGGTACGTCCTGACCTCGTGCACCGCCTCCTTCTATGCTCCCTGCCTCATCATGGTGGCCGTCTACTGCCGGATCTACCACGTGGCCAAGCACAGGAACTCGATAGTCCTTGCAGCCAGGCGTGCTTCTCACCCCACCCTCATCACCGCCATCAAGTGTGACACTCTCCAAGCCGGCACCCAGCCCACTGGGGAAGTGCAGAGCCCCGGCCTGGAGCAGGGCCAGCTCTCTCTCCCCCTGCCTGGCTTGCCCCGGCCGTCTCGGCAATGGAAGGTAGAAGAAGCCAGCAACAGCAGCTCCAGACCACAAAAGACGCAGAGGCTTTCCTGGTCAATTCCCTCCAGCCGGCAACACCGCATGAGCAGGGACTTGTCCATCTCCACTAACCGACTGATGCAGGTGCGGGAGCGCAGGTTTACCTTTGTCCTGGCTGTCATCATTGGGGCTTTTGTGCTCTGCTGGTTCCCGTTCTTTTTCATGTACAGCCTTGAATCCGTCTTTGGGGAAGACTGCTGCATCTCCAGGAGTCTCTTCAAATTCTTCTTCTGGATTGGTTACTGTAACAGCAGCCTCAACCCCATTATCTACACTGTCTTCAATCGGGACTTCCGCCGGGCCTTCCAGCACCTTCTGTCCCGTGCCTGCCAACTTTCATGTCGAAAATGAGGGTTTTTGTTTAGGGTTGAAGGCTAAGAGAGAGGCAGGAGCTCTGGGGCTTGGGTCTGGAACATCATCCTAAGGCCTCAGTGAAGGGAACTACCTGAGGCTGAGGAATAGGTTGGGTGCAAGTTTTGCTGAAGAACTTCCAGTGAAGTATGCATGTTGCATACATGCCAAAAGTAACATGGGCAGCAGGAGCTTGGGATGTCTGGCCAGGATACGGAGGGCTGATAGTCCTGGTCATAGCATAGCGTCAAGCTATACTCCTGGCCTACCTCTGGAACGCTGGCTGTTTCCTTCTTCTTGGCTCAAGAGACTGGAGGAAGAATTGGGGTGGGAGTGGGGATGCTGTACACATTTTGTAGAGTGCATTAGAATGGTGAGTTCTAATACCTGGGTTCTGACTTGTCATTACTGGCCGTTACTGCCGTAAACCAAGCAAAGATAAGAGAACCAGCATAGTCTAGGGGTTAAGAGCGGTGGACTGTAATCTAGAGAACCGGGTTTGATGATTCCCCACTCCTCCACTTGCAGCCAGCTGGGTGACCTTGGGTCAGTCAGTTTTCTCAGCCCCCCCCCCCCCCATGGTTGGAATATGCAAAGTCTATAGTGTAGCCTTATAAAGAAGATCTGAAGATCATCCTACAGGGGGACAGTTGAAGGACTTGTAGTTAGCATCGCTAGACTAGGGACTTCCCACTTTTTCAGATTTTGTCCTTGCTGTATCCTGATTGGCTCTTCTGGAGACTTCCTGTTCCTGAAGAGCTTCCTGTTGCTCTTTGTTCCTCACTGAGCAGTTAGTTAGACAGTTAAGGTTCTCTCTTCTATGTTCTATCAAGGTTTGTTCTTTAATAAACCTACATATTTTTCTCCACTTCCTTGCATATTTAAACTCTGCCAACAAGAATAAACCTAGCTTCACCACAAAAAGAGCTAGAGTTTCAGGCTGCCAGACAATCTTCGGATCTCCTGCTGTACTACACCCACTGCCATACAATAATCAATTAATTACCAAGCAAGGATGCATTCTGATGTCCACCACCTTGGCTTTGGAGTGCAAGTTCTTATAATCCACAGAGATCAGTGTACAGTCAATCTGGGTGGTCTAGTACCGATTTTTTTCTAGTCTATGGAAACTTTATCATGTCCCCTTGTCGCTGCTGCTCTGTTGGGAAGAAGAATAGCCGGGAATCATGAGAAGCAGAAGGTCTGTATTAGAGGAAATCGTAAGGGGTGACCATAGTGTAATGGTTAGAGTGTTGGGTTAGGATCTGGGAGAACTGGCTTCAAATCTCCACTCTGCCATGGAAGATCATAGGGCAACCTGGGGGCAGTCATTCCCTTTCAGCCTTGCATACCTTTCAGGGATAAGGAAGACTGGAGGATAAAATGGAGGCCTGGAGAACAATATTGTAAGCTGGTGCTTTGTGTATGTGTGTGCCCCCCCCGGGGGGGGTAGAAAAGTAGGCTATAAATATCCAAATACATAAAATGTATTCATTACAGCTGTGGAGGTACAAATGTTCTGGAGTGCCTCTCACACCTCAGGTTAATTGAATGCCTTATGGGGGAAAGGGGAAAATGGGGTCTAGGTCAGACCATCTAGCTCAGCACAGTGGCCAGGCAGATGTTCCTGGGAAGATGACACTCAGGACACAGGGAAGAGAGCCATGCTCTGGCAAACAGCCTCACAATGGGCTGTGCGTCATCAAGGAACTGTGATGATAACGCTTTCTGCCAATAGCCGATGCGGAAACACTGCAGAGCCGTATGGAAGGGGAAAATCGGAACAGAGAAGAGAGTGCATGGGAACAGCCCCTTGCTCTGTTGCCACTGTGAAGGCCTCTGCATCCACAGCAGTGATGAGAAGGACGTGGATAGCTATCGCTGCCCTGAGAAAGCAACCCGAGAAGTTAGATTTTTGGTCCACACCCTTCCCAGAGAGCAACAAGCTGTGAGAGGCTAGGCAAAGTCATAATTGTTCTGGAGACACTGAGTGCTGCTTCTGAAAACAAAGAATTGAGCAATGGGCAGGGTAGCATCTCTCCCCTGCCATTAAAGCTCTGAAGGAAAGAAGACTGGCCACGAATTGCCATTTCCCTGTAGCCTCAGCTGCACACAATGAGGAGGAGGAGGAGGATGCTACCTGCGGGCCTGAGTGGTGGACTGTTCCGCTACATGAAGTATTTGCATCTCCTCTTCCTCTTTGCAGCGATGACTTGGTTTGGGGTGGGTGGGTGTCCACCTTGCCTCTCTGCCCAGGCTGCTAATCAGAAGGGAGCTGAGCAAAGCTAGGAGGAGACCAGATGCTGAGTGAGTCAGCCTGCCATCTGGCTCTGGCAAACATTACCCTGCTGCTGGCACTGCTGGGAGGATGCCCACGGTGGGAATTGCAAAACGGATTTCTGTCCTTCACAGCGTGTTGAACTTGCTGCCCGCTTTAGGTAAAGCAGAGATTCAGCAATGGGTTGGGCTTCTGGGGATGTTTGGCTGTGAGACAAATCAGTAAGGCCTGCAGCAGATGGGTGCTGCTGCCCCAGCTTTGATTGCCCCACCATTTATTCAGCATTGCAGATGGTCGGTATGTGACAGGGATGTTGCGGGCAATATCTGTGTGCAGCTACTTGGGGATCTCTGGCTTTCCCCGTTACTCTGGATCATGGCAGTGAGGTCCACAATACATCGGAGATGGTAACAGCTTGCCCTCCATAATGCATGCCGCCAACCATCAGTTTTAGGAAGGGCTCTTTTGTGGTGATATTCAGCAGTGCTGAGAACTGGTACCTTGGGCGGGGAGGGGCTCTGCCAAGTCATAAGGGGAGAATCGGTGGAAATCCGCATAACTTTATATATGAATACTGGCACTTTTTTTAAAAAGCACTGGTTCTAGGGATCCATTTCCTGTTGTTATTCCACCAGAGTGGTATGGTTGATAGAGTGTTAAACTGGGACCTGGGAGAGACAGGTTCAATTTCCCCACTCACGCCATTAAGCTCACTCTCTCTCAGCCTGGCCTACATCCCAAAGTAGTTGTGAGAACAGAATGGGGGAGAACCCTGTATGCTGGCCTGAGCTCCCTGGAGGAAGATGGGGGTAAACAAAAACAGGTACAGGCCACACAGGCCAACAGCCAGCGTAGTGTAATGGTTAGAGCACCATAGAAGAGGGGCAACCTGGGTCCAAACTCCCACTCATCCATGAAGCTCACAGGATGACCTTGGGCTACTTGGTCAGTCTCTCTCTTGGCCTACTCGGTATCACAGGGTGGTTGTGAGGATAAAACGGAAGGAGGGAGGTCCACGCATGCTGGCCTGAGCTCTTCGGAGGGAGGGCAGGATAAAATGTGATAGACAGATAAGGAGGAGCCAGCCTCAGCCACCACCCTGCTGCTCCATACACAGGCTCTAGAGCTAGAGTTGCCAGCCTCCTTTTTGGGGGATCTTTATCATCTGCATGTTAGGCAAACATTTCAACAGGTGTAGTTTATTCCTGGTATGAAGGAAGTGGGAGCAACCTCACCTATTGCATTTTTGGCCACTGGGCAGTTATTAAAGACATAGATTCTGTTGCATATGTATGTGTGTGTGTGTGTGTGTGTGTGTGTGTGTGTGTGTGTGTGTGTGTGTGTGTGTGAATCTTACTACTAAGGGATGTGGGATGATCTGCTGACTGCATTTTCAGCCACAGGCATTTGCTTATGTATCCCCCCCCCAGGGCTTTTTTTGTAGAAAAAGCCCAGCAGGAACTCATTAGCATAACAGGCCACACCAACAGCAGAAACTCATTAGCATAGTAGGCTACACCCCTGACAGCACAGAACATTAGCATATTAGGCCACACCCCCATGCCACCAGAAGTGTGGTCATCCAGCCACGCCCACCTTTTGCTTCTTATTCTGTTTACCTTGTTTGTTGTCAACCAGGGCTATTTTTGTAGCAGGAACTCCTTTGCATGTTAGGCCACACACCCCTAATGTAGCCGTGCATAATGAGTCTCTGCTGTTGGGTGTGGCCTATTATGCTAATGAGTTCCTGCTGGGCGTGGCCAACTCGGGAGCCAGCCGGAACTCCGTTCCTGTGCGTTCCTGCCCCAAAATAGCCCCCCCTTTTAAACACCCCTGGGAAAATAATATGTAAAAATATTACTCTGTATTGCTGCTCTTCCCACCTGCACCCTACAAGGTTTGCCAGAGAGCGACCCTGTGATTGGATAATGCATGATGTGAACCCACCTTTACATTCTCAATAAGGGTAAATGTTAACAGCTATGAACTCTTTAGCAACCCCCTATGCATACCCACTGATCCAGGTGGGCAGCCGTGTTGGTCTGAAGCAGTAGAACCCATTTTGAGTCCAGCGGCAGTGGCAAATAACTCTACACAACCCATCACCCCACTTCAAAGAATAAAGGTCGCCTCCACACTTGAAAGGAGACAGATGGGACCTAATGACAGACACTCACCATCCCACAATTAGGGATACATCAATCTGCAATTCTGACATATTTATTTCCTTGCTATGTTTCCCCCCAGGAGTTGAACCCAAACAGATGATAGCCATATAAACGAAGCTTGTTATTCTTTTAATCTGTAAAAAAAGTCTTCATTGTTCTGTATGCTGATTTACTGCCCACCCTCTGTATGTAGGACTGCTATTTCTATTTCCATATTATTGTATCTGAGGAAGTGTGCATGCACAAGAAAGCTCATACCTTGAATAAACCTTTGCTGGTCTTAAAGGTGCCCCACTGGGCTCAAAATTTACATAGCCACGGAGAGATTGCATTTTAAATCTCCCAAATATTAACATTACTTAAGTAATAGAAAACAGCAAGTACTAGCTCACACGCAAGCGAGAAGGCAAAAACAGAGCAATTTAAGAGAGGGGTTAAATTGAGCGGGTATCCACAGAGACAGGCCCTATTAGCCCCATTATGAATCTGCCCCAGTTCCAGAAGCCTAATGGGGAAGGACTGGTGCCTGGCTATCGTCTGCTCAGCTTACACCC